AGCAATTATAAACATTCCATCATTCTTTTAGTTATAGCACCATGCCATGCTATTTTAAGTATTTCAAAGCAATTTTTCAGACTTATTATTTTACCTATAAATGTCTTAAATGCATTTTTAAAAATTTTTTTAATGTTTTATTTTTATTTTTGAGAGAGAGATAGAGACAGCGTGAGCAGGGGAGGGGCAGAGAGAGAGAGGGAGTTACAGAATCTGAAGACAGGCTCCAGGCTCTGAGCTTGCTGTGAGCACAGAGCCCGACATGGGGCTTGAACCCACAAACCGTGAGATCATGACCTGAGCCGAAGTCAGACACTCAACTGACTGAGCCACCCAGGTGCCCCTTAAATGCATTTTTAATGAGGAAAGATATTTTATTTTTGTGAGGGTTTCATGGTATATTGGTATGTCAAAGCTAATCAATTTGGATACAAATGTAAATTTTATTTTATTTTGTCAATAATACTGCAATAAAGGTGTATAAAATAAAGATTTTTGCCTACATTTCTATCTAGGTATTGTATGCATTTTGAGATTATAAATGAGATGTTTAAAATTTGGTTTTTGCTCAGATATAAAACATACTTTATTTTTAAGCTGACTACTTATCCAGCAACTATGCTTGATGATTGTTAATAGTATATCTGCCAAGTGTTCTGAAATTTTTGTGTATAATGGTAGTTTCCATTTTTTCTGCAATGTTTATAATAGTTGTCCTTTTTAAAAAGTTTTTTTTTGTGTTTATTTATTTTGAAAGATTGAGAGATAGAGAGAGAAAGACAGAGTGTGAGCAGGGGAGGGGCCAAGAGAGAGGGAGACACAGACCCTGAAGCAGGCTCCAGATTCTGAGCTGTCAGTACAGGGAACCACACAGGACTGGAACTCACAAACGATGGGATCGTGGTCTGAACTGAAGTTGGATGCTTAACTGACTGAACACCAAGGCACCCCTATAATAGGTGTCCGTTTTAACTTGCCTTAAACCACTGGCTAGGATTTTCAATACAATATTGAGCAGAATAGAAAATTTTGACTTTTTCCTTAATTCAGTGGGGATGCCTTAATATTTCATCTCTATATAATAGGTTGTAGGTTTTTCCCAAATGCACTTCATCATCTGAAATTTAAATTTTGTACTGTTCCTAGTTTATACTTTAAAAAAATTTTTAGGGGTTCCTGGGTGCCTCAGTCAGTTAAGTGTCTGATTTCATCTCAGGTCATGATCTCACAGTTTGTGAGTGAATCCAAGCCCCACGTCAGGCTCTGTGCTGACAGCTCAGAGCCAGGAGTCTGCTTTAGATTCTGTGTCTCCCTCTCTCTCAGCCCCTCCCTAGCTCACTCTCTCTCTCTCAAAAATAAATAAACATTCAAAATATTTTGCTTGGGGGCGCCTGGGTGGCTTAGTCGGTTAAGCGTCTGACTTTCACTTGGGTCATGATCTCACGGTTTGTGGGTTCAGGCCCCGCGTTGGGCTCTGTGCTGACTGCCAGCTCAGAGCCTGGAGCCTATTTCAGAGTCTGTGTCTCCCGCTCTCTCTGACCCTCCCCTGCTCACGCTGTCTCTCTGTCTCTCTCTCCTAGAAATAAATAAGAATATTAAAAAATATATATTTTGCTTAAAATTTTTTAGCTTAAATGGCTTTTAAAAATGAGTCTGTGTTGCTACCAAAATTCACATGGGAAGAGATAGAAAACCTGAACAGACCATAACTAGTGAGGAAATCTAATCAGTTATCAAAAATCTCCCAACAATAAGACCCCTGG